TTTTTTTTTTTCCTTTGTTTTGCTCGTTATAATCTATACTTCATATGCTGCTGCTTCTTTGTGTCTCTCTATGTGTGTATGTGTGTTGTGCCAATTCATTTTCTCCTTAAGGGTGTTACTTTTTTGGTACTGAATATGATTTTAAAATTTGTTTTCTATAAATCCACTTTTATTTTGGTACTCAATATGATTTTCATAAACTTCGGCCTAGAAATTACCGGGCCTGTGAACTGACCCGTACCTAAATCCAGGCCGGTTCCGGGTACCTGTTCTCGTGCCCGACAACCTGCCAGGACAGGTCTGGATTCAGCCCGCGACATGGCCATGTATTATCTTGGATATTTGCTGCTTGTTAGAGATGTTAAACGGTATTTAGTCCGACGGGTCCACCCGTTTAGCCCGAAAAAAAAAAAAGTTAGGCCTTTTTATTGGCAGATTCGGGCTTTTTAAGCTCTAACGTTTAGCCCGAAACCTGCTAGGGCTAGCTCGAAAACCGCTAGCGCTCGCTCGTTTAACTTGGGTTGACTGATGTATATGTTTTTAGAAAGGTAAGAAATATGTCTCATGATTCTTTGTATATCACAATTACGCTGTTCTACTTCATTTTATTTATGAGTTATAACGGGTTATTATTATTTTAAAAGATAATTATTAACAAATTTTATTCTGTTCCATACCAAAATATTTAATTCAATCAAAACGTCTAATAAAATTGTTCATTGCAAATAAAGTTGAAAGAGTCATTGTTGACAATTCTCCTGTCATAGAGCTAATAATGGACTAGATCAAAATGACTAAATTAAATTCTATTGCTTCTTCTATTAGTGAAGTTTTTAGAAAAAATATATCAAACGACGCAATGCACCTTGAGTCACTACGGAAACAACCTTCTTGTATAATTACAAGGGTAAAGTCTGCGTACAACTGACCCCCTAGACCCCAACCAGTTGGGAATATACTGGGTATGTTGTTGTAGAACGTCTAATAAAAACCAAATGAAACAAAGACTTAACACGTTGAATATATATAGTGGTAGAATATAAATTTAATAGTATGCTGTATTGTGAAAATTTCTAAAGCGTACCAAATAACTAGTCAAATGGTAGTTATAAGTAATAGTTCGAACATTTTTTCTTATTCAATTGAGAATCAATATGTTACTTAAGACACTACAAAATAAATGTTATATTTCAACGGAAAATCCTATGGTAATATATTCCAATGGGAATTCCAACGGATATTCCAATGGAATAGCTTCCGTTGGAATAGTTCCAACAGAAATTCCAACGGAAATATTCCGTTGGAATGTGTTTTTCATTAGAATTTTAGATGGAATTTGATGATTCCAACGGCTATAATTCCAACGACTTTTTACCGTAAGAATTTTCGTTGGAATATGCAAATTCCGTTGGAATTTTTTTTTTCACCCCCGTTGGAAAATCCACCGTTGGAATCGTCAAAATCCAACGGAAATTCCAGTGGAAAACCCATTCCAACGGAATATTTTCTTTGGAATTTTCGTTGGAATCCATTGAAAAATTCCAACGGAAATAATAGTATTGAAACATCCGTTGGAATTTCCGTTAGAATAATTCTTTAAAATATATTTCCGTTGGAATTTCATCATTTTATTGTAGTGAGAGTTTGTAATGTGTGTTCATATATGAAGTGTAGTTGTATATATATATATATAGAGTGGTCATTACTAAATATCCGTTAAAAAACCATTAGCTAGACGGTGTAATTTTTTTATTATTATTATATAATAATAATAATAATTATTTATTAGTATTACTATAGCCCGTTTAGCTCGAAATCTACTAGGTTTAGGGTTAGGTCCTTTTACTGGTAGTCCGTTTAACTTCAGGCTTTTTAAGGTCGGACCGTTTAACGCGAAACCCATTAAGGCTAGCCCGAAACCGCTAAAACTAGCCCGTTTTAACATTTCTAGTGCTTGTAGTGGCATTAAATAAACTCATTGCCCCCGCCCCAATAAATAAATAAATTATATACTCCCAAACATTGTCTTAGTGTGGTTGGCCTCCTCCCAACCTAAGTCGAGATTGATGATATGCTGCAAAATTAGGTCGAAATGAACATTTTAAGTGATGACAACAACCCAATTCTGCACTTTCTAATCTCCACTATAAGCTCCATTTCATTGGACATATCCATGCACCAAAACAGACCAATATTTGACACCCCTTTGTTTTTTTTTTTTTTTTTGAAATAAAACACAGTAATTAATATTATTCTAATTCGGTGTTTCAGTTTTTGAGTACAACCCGGACTTCCACAACGTGATGCAAGTGACGCATGCCGAGTACCGAGCGTGCAACGCGTCGTCTCCCATCAGCACATTCACCACGGGCAACGACACAATCACTATAAATAACCCGGGCCACCATTTCTACGTGTGTGGCGTGACCGGTCACTGCCAGAGTGGACAAAAGGTCGACATAAATGTCCCCATTAATGCTGCTGTTACCACTGCTCCTCCTCCATCCGCCGTGTCATCTCCGGTCCCTTCGATTACGAATTCGAGCAGTTTCGCAGCTCGTCAAGTAAATGCGACCGTTCGTAAGCTTTTCGGGTGGGCGGCGCTGCAGCTGCTGCTCGCATTTTGTTTCCGTGGTTAAATGGTTCATATTTTGTGATCAGCGTACGTATTCGGATTTGAGAATATATTTTTTTGTGCACTGGAGTTGTAAAGTGGAGAATAATTTGGCTAATGTTTGTGTATGAGACATTTGTAAGCTCATATTTTTGTTTTGAACTTTTTAAGTGCGCGTCCCCTATATATTAATGTTTATATTTACTTGTGGTGTCTCTTAATCCTATTATTCATAATCCTATATGTGGATTTGTATTTTATCTCTATCTAATATGACCATTAAATTATAAAATTTGACTAAATGAAAGTATAAACATATACAAAAGTTAATAGTTTTCGTATTTGATATTAATTTTTCAAATGTAATATATCAACTTAAATCGCCGAGATTCAATTTGATATTACATTGCATATATAACATAAATAAATATATATATTTGTATTTATAAAGTTAAATCATCTATTAATAAAATTATAAATCAATAAAAAAAACTATTTGTAAATTCATTATATATGAACTGGAAAAATTATTATAACATAAAACCAACAAATCAGAGTTGAACATCTGATTTTAATCATAAATTAATTGTGCACATTTTTAAAAAAGTATTAAAATTAATTAAAAATATATTTCGTACATTTTTAAATATTTTTTGATATTTTTTAACCAGGACCAGTATCCTGGATAGTGTACTAGTTAACATTAAATTTGTTATGATTGACGTGAAACAAATATTGTGCACTAACTTGAAAAAAAAAAAGGTAGAAGAACTAAACTTAAAATAAATATTTGGTAATGTATTCATTCATATTTATATATAACTGAAAAAGTAGAAAATTAAAATTAGGCCCGTAGCTTTTGGGTTGTCCATTTTTTGTCCCATTAGGATGACACCAGTCCTCTAACTTTTGAAATTCAATCGAAATAAGGACAACTGTTGTCGGAACTGCCATTTCCAGCCCGGAAATGATACGTCATGCTGACATGCCTTAATAATATTACAACTGATCCTTCGTGGTAGATGACATGGCAAATTATCAAAATCAATCCCATAATTATTCCGATGTTTCAATATTATTCTATTTTATTTCTTAAAATGATTGATTCATTAATGTAAACACGTAAATACAATCGACTAAATAGGCAGAAAATGGTGGCCTACCAAAGGTAGCCTAAATGCCACAATCTCACACAGTAGAAAAAAAAAAAAATAGAATACAAACTTCCAAAGAGAGAAGACACTGCTAAAAAAAACAAAGGATATGACATTCTAGTTATGATTTTCTTTAAGCTCTCAGAAGTTGTAATCTTCCTTATGAAATGAAAGGAGATGTTGTTTGCTCTTCTTGTGCGTTGTCTAAAATTCACAGACTGCCTTTTGCTAACTCAGAAACCATTTATGATAAACCTCTTGATCTTGTGCATTCTGACTTATAGGGACATGCCCCATTAAGTCTAGAAATTGTTTTCACTTTCATTGATCAATTTAGCAAGCATACTTGGATATACTTACTCAAATATAAATTAGAAGTCAAACAAGCATTCTTTCATTTTAAAAGTCTTGCTGAAAATTAATTGAACACTACTTTCAAAATCCTTCAAACTGATTGTTGGAGGTGAATATAGAACTTTAACCACTTATCTTGAAGAAAATGGTATCATTCATAGAGTTTCTTGTCCATATACTCAGCAAAATGGTGTTGCTGAGAGAAAACATAGGCATATTGTTGAAACCGTCCTATCTATTCTGGCTCAAAGTGGTTTACCTTCTTCCTTTTGGGATGATGCTTTCATAACCTCAGTGTACATAATCAATAGATTGCCTACCAAAGCCTTGATTACAAAACTCCAGTTGAAATCCTTTTTAGCCATAAACCTGATTACAAGAGACTTAAAATCTTTTGATGTCTTGCCTTTCTTGTCCTTAGACCGTTTGACAAACACAAGATGCAATTTAGATCCATGGCAGGAACATTCATTGGCTTTAGTAATCAATATAAGATATATAAAATCTTTCTTCCAGATGGTAGAATAATATCGTCTAGAGATGTGATATTTGATGAGACAAAATTTCCCTACTTAGACACCATTGTTCTTCAATCTCAACCAGTGAACTCTAGTCATTTTTGTACTTCATCTCTCCCTCTTGTTTCAGTTGAACCTCAAAAAAAGACTAACTCACCTTCTCACTCTCACTACTGACCACCACCAGATAGTCCTCTATCTTCACCTCACACATCAAACACTCCAGCAAGCACTTCTCAATCATCTCATAGCAACACTGCAACGCCTATTTCTGTCAATTACCAAGAAAGCGTAATGCTTCACCTATTTCACATGGTTTATCTGATACTAATGTTGAAGCTCCTCCTACTCGTCACATGATTACTAAATCTAAGCAGGTATATACAAGCCCAAGATCTACACTCTCAAAAAGACAGAAATAATTGAACCTACCTCCATTGAAAGTGCTCTTCATCCACCTCAATGGAAAGCTGCTATGATGGAGGAATATCAAGCTCGTCTTTCTAATTGGACATGGTCTTTAACAACATTGCCACCAGGTAAAAAGATGATTTGCTGCAAGTGGGTCTTCAAAGTTAAAAAGGATGGAAAAGGCATGATCTCAAGATTAAAGACAAGACTAGTTGCTTAGGTTTTTTTCTCAATTAGTTGGTTTGGATTTCTTGGAAATTTTAGTCCTGTTGTTAAACCTGTTACCATAAAGGGTTATTCTATCTCTTGATGTTACTAATTCTTGGACAGTGAGACATATAGACATCAATAATGCTTTTTCTTCATAGAACTCTCACTGAAGATATCTACATGAGGCACCCTGTTGGTTTTGAGCAAGGGAATGAGCACATAGATTGCAAGCTATCCAACTCTCTTTATGGATTGAAACAAGCATCCAGGGCCTGGTTCGACACTATGAAGAGTGTCTTATTACAGCTTGGTTCCACAGACACAAACTCAGACAACTCTGTATTCTTAAAAGTTGGACGAGATGTTGGAATTGGAGCTAGAGGACAAGAGTTGTTGTTAATTGTCTAAGAGTGATAAGTTGGTCTGGGAAAACTCGCACCTGGGGATTGAAAACGAGCCAATTAGGCCAGGTAATAATTCGTAAAGAGATCAAATTATTTTTAGAAATAGGGATTGAATCTAATGATATGTTTCTTTGGTAGTGTTTTACCCCGTAAAGGGTTCAAGAGGTTAATCGAAAGATTGAAGAAAAGAAGAAAAAGAGATCGACAAGAGGGAAGCTTCATCGGCAGCACAAGGATCGCCAGTACCTACGAAAATGAGATCACCATCGCAAAAGACCGACCCGAAGCGTTGATCAACTACTACACTAGAAGGAATCGCGCGGACGTCAAAGCATCAAAGGAAAAGTTCGCCCCGCGATTGTCCCCCTATCCCACGGGGCGGTCAAATTTGAGTCTGAGGAGCAAGATCGTCCTCTGGAAGAGATGGAGACGGTAAGAAAGATCGTCATGGAGGAGCCGATTGTGGGATCATAAGAAGATGTCCATGACTTGTAGGAGGGGGATTGTCAAGATTTGCATGTTAGGAAAGGGCCAATAAAAGAGGCCATGTCAATGGAAATCGACGAGGCAGCGACCCAACAATCTAAGCCACCCCCATAGAGTGAGACCGAGGGATCGACTTCTCAGGTGTTGCCTTTGAGCAATTTTTTTGCATGACCCCTCGAAGGAGGACCCAATAGTACGTAACTTTGAAGGTCGTTGGCCAGACTGATTTTGCAACTTGGTGGGGTTGGAGATTCCCGAGATCCCCAAATCTAATGGTGTGCCAGAAAACGTGGTGAATGCAACCCATTTTCTTCTCATTGCATTCAATGGCAACATTGTATCTAGATTATTATATTTTTCCGTGCATTATACGAGATGTGCACTAATACTTATATCCACATTGTATCATAACTTTTTATAATGTACCATAAGTAAGTGATTTGTGTTATTTATATACTATTTAATTTGTAATACAATTGTGATATTGTTTCTTTTTAAAATAATAGCACCCTTTGTGCATATCCATATCCAATCAATTATTCACCTAGCTGGTAAAATGTTCTTTTTATCCGTTAAAAAAAAAAAAACTACTCCTATGGAAATCGGATATTATTGTGGATAACGATCCAAAACTTATCCTTTTAACAGTCAACAGTCTTGGAATGTGAAGACGTTCTATATTACTAAACTTAAACCCATTAATTAACTAAAATTAATCGGATTTACCAAAACCTTTGGAAATCTGCTTTTTCATTTGAACAGACGACATTTGTTTTCAAATTGGATATGATTTCAAATCCCAACAAAATCTCTGTTTGACCCAAATATTTCTCCCTCCTTAAAAATTATCCAAAACCCAATCCTATTTTCAAACTGCCTCAGCTTATTAGTACTATTTTACTTAGATAATTACATAACAATAAAAATTATTAAAAACAGATAGAAAACAAACTCGTCGTGTACATATCAAACAGGAAAATTTTTGTAGGTGAAAAAATGGGGAGTAATCAGATCGAAAGCTACAACTCTAAGATGACAGCTTATGTCTTCGCCTGTTGGATTCTTGCTGCCTTTGGTGGCCTCATGTTTGGCTATGACATTGGAATTTCAGGTATATGAAAACGCTACGATCTCGTTAACGGAACCATTCCGTCAGTGTTTGTAATCGTCCGGAATAGTTGATATAATGGTTATAAACTCCGATGAAATTAATGATTCGGTGACGGGACCGTAGCATCTTCCCTGTGCTTCAATGCTATTATTCGGAATTTAATTTTTTTTATTCATTATGTAATCTTATGATCTAAAAATATTTGTTTGATCAGGTGGTGTGACGTCCATGGACGATTTCCTGGTGAAGTTTTTCCCCAAAGTGCACGAGCGGAAGATGCACGTGTACGAAGACAACTACTGTAAATACGACGATCACATGCTGCAGCTGTTCACGTCCTCTCTCTACTTGGCAGCACTTGTGGCCAGCTTCTTTGCTTCCAAGGCGTGTACAGTTTTGGGCAGACGGCCCACGATTACGATGGCGTCCGTTTTTTTCATTCTCGGCGCGGCACTGTGCGCCTTCGCGGAGTTCAAATGGATGCTTATAGTTGGCCGGATTTTGTTCGGCATTGGCGTTGGCTTCGGAAACGAGGTACGTATTGTTTTTAATTTTTTTTTTCGACGAATCTAAATATGTTAGTTAAAAACATAAAATATGCAGGCCGTCCCGTTGTTTCTAACGGAAATAGCACCGATTCATCGAAGAGGTGGAGTCAACATTCTCTTCCAGCAATTCGTGACGATTGGTATCTTCATAGCCAACCTCATTAACTACGGCACCTCCAAATCCCACCCGAACGGCTGGCGCATCTCGTTGGGGCTTGCGGCTGTCCCGGGAGCCGTCCTCTTTGTCGGGTCCCTCATCATCACCGAGACACCTGCCAGCTTGGCACAGAGGGGTCGTGAGGACGAGGCTAAAGCGGCCCTGAAAAAAGTCAGGGGTGTTGAGGACGTCGAGGATGAGTTCAGGCAAATCTTGGCGGCCAGTGAGCAAGGCCGGCAGGTGAAGAACCCGTTTATGAAGATATTCAAGAGAAGAGCCATACCGGCTCTAATCGTGTCCAATGCCGTTCAAGTCTTCCAGCAGTTCACTGGGATTAATGCCATCATGTTCTATGCTCCCATTTTGTTCCAAACGTTGGGCTTCGGAGCCGATGCCTCCCTTCTCTCGTCGGTTATCACGGGTTTGGTTAATGTCTTCTCGACTCTCGTCTCTGTTTTCGCCGTGGATAAGTTTGGGAGGAGGAAGTTGCTTCTCCAGGCCTGCGTTCAGATGTTAATTTCCCAAGTGCGTGCATAATTTCTTTCAGTTTGTTTTAAGCAGCATTTCTTTCATTAAATAAATATTGAGATGATGATTTGTGGCTCGCAGGTGGCGATTGGTGGGATACTTCTAGGCCACCTGAAGCCGACTGGGTCGCTAGACAAGGGGTTGGCGGGCGTGGTGGTGGTCCTCGTGTGCACGTTTGTGATGTCGTTTGCGTGGTCGTGGGGCCCAATGGGTTGGCTTATCCCGAGCGAGATCTACCCGATCGAGACTCGCACATCAGGATTTGCTGTGGCCGTGAGCTCCAACATGATCTTTACGTTCATAATCGCGCAGGCATTCCTGTCGATGATGTGCCACATGAAGGCCTACATCTTCTTCTTCTTTGCGGCGTGGATTGTGGTGATGGGCCTGTTTGTGCTGTTTCTATTGCCCGAGACGAAAGGCGTCCCGATCGACCTCGTTGAGGAGAGGCTCTGGAAAAAGCACCCCGTTTGGAAGAGGTTCTTCGAGGAAGAAGTGAAGAGCTACGACATGGCATGAAAAAGAGAAATATGAGATAATTATTTGGCGTATCTTCTCTTAGTTCTCTGATCTCAAAAACTATATCATCATTTGTTATATATTCTTCTTCTTTCAACTAGTTGACTAGTACGGTACACGTGAGCATTTATTATCTATTTGCTTTTTATAAGGTATTTTTATATTTAAATTTGTCTCATGACATTGAAAATATAATGAAAATCAGATTTATATACTATTGAACATTTCTTTATTTACAACATTCTTGATTTGATTTTTTGGCACATAAAATATTATAATTATTAGCTATTAGTTAACTAATTATATTTAAAAAAAAAAAATATATGAAGTGATCGTATTTATTATGCAAAATTCTACTAGAAAAAAAAGCAGATATTTTTAGGGATTTCCATGTCATTTTATTTTATTTTATTATTTTTTTAAATCTAATTCAAATTTTGATTAAGAAAAATTGAAAAGAAAAATAAAACTGATTTTTCTACAAATACGCCGATTTTTTTTCATACAAATTGATCCGAATATTTGGTTAAAACAAAGTAAAATAATCATCAAATTTTTCTAAAAACTGCAACCATTTTTTTTTCCTAACATTGCACCGATTGTTTCTATAAAACAAGTTGAACTGAAAGTAATTCTAATAAAAAAAATCAAAATATTTTGTTAAGATTTATGCAACTGCTTCTTTTTTAGAAAAATTGATATGACTTAAAAAAAGGCAACTATGTCTAATCTTGCTAATAATATTGATATATGTGTAGGGTTGTAAACGAATTGAATCGAAGTAAATATTAAAATATATGATTCGGATTTTTAAAAATATTCGACTATCCATATTCGATTCATTATTGAACTTAATTTGTGATTTTGTTAATTTGATTAAATAAAAGAATATATTCACTTTGAATTCAATTTAAAAAATTACTTATATTTTTTAAATGTAAATGTATATTATTATTTTATATTTATAAAATATATATTATATAAAAAAAATTTTAGTTAATATTTACTAGCTATAACGATTCTAATAAGAAATATATATTCTTTTTGGGAGCACAAGAAAATATAAATGAAAAAGAAACTAGAAAAATAATTTTCCAAAACTAATAAACTCATGGAGTAATCAATACGATTTAACCGAACAGAAAATAACAAGGAAAACGGATTGAATAAGTAAATTATGTTTCACGTTTAACATATGGTTTTTATTTTTATTTTTTATAAATAGTTTAATAATCTGTTTCCACAATCCTCTCTTATAAAAAGGTCACCCGTTATTTATTTATTTATTTATTTATTTATTTATTTATTATTATTATTTATTTATTTATTTATTTTTTTGGCAAGTAGCTGTTAGACTAGACATGTGATAAAATTTATTATATATATATATATATATATATATATATATATATAAAGTTGATTGAGTTTTAGTTTGAGTGAAATTTTAAATTTGTATTTAAATAATTTTTAAAATTGTCCTTTGAATTATGTTCAAATAACATTTTTGCTGTTAGATTATACGGCAAGTTCTACTATTCAGGGATAAAATGATTATGGATATATTTTTCGATTGATAATCATTTGTTTTTAATGGATTCATATTGGCATTTGACAATCAGCAATGAATTTAATTGATTGAGGTAGAAGTTAGCTTATAGGTTTATCTTATTGATTTTTTTTGTTTTTTATTTTTTAGTTTTGAACGATAGAGAATTTTATAGATAAAACCGCACAAATGTGTAAAGATATCGTCCCTAGTTGAATAATACAACCAGCAACCGAATAGACTGGGAGCGGAACTGATGTCCGCCTAGAACCCGCACTAACAATGCTAGAAACAAAAACACAAGACTCACGACTCGGGAGACGCTACACAACAAACACTAAAAAAAATCACAAAGCTCCCAAAATAAGAAAAAACCTTATAGGTTATCTATTATACATAAAATATTATTTTTATTTAAAATAAGTTCTAATATATATATATATATGTATATTTAATCTTATATATTTTTTTGTTAGACTTAATATAAATTCTAAAATCGTATCTAGAATATTTAAAATCATATGTCTAGAATATGAAAATAGTATATATTGAGCTAATATTGATAATTCGAATCCTAAGCATTGACAATTTGAATTCTAAGCATTGATACCTACTATAAGTTAATACGTATACCCTGGTTTAAAATTAGTATATATATTTTTTTAAAATATTATAGTAAAAATATCATTAAAAAAAAGAAAATAAATATGGAAATACATGAAAGCAAAAAAATAGTTAATGCATAAAGATTAAGTATTAAATTAAACGCAAATCGAAAGCCCAAAGGCCGTGAATGGTTGATACGTCCGACATATTTTTCATGCAACGTACGTGTTTACAATATGAACCTGGCCAAGTCACGGCCAATATCCAGAAACGTATCATCTCGTCTCTGCAATAGTGCTGCTCCAAGGGCCACGGGATAGACTGTTTTTTATGGGTCTCACAATAAAGACAATAATGTATTAGAAATCTTATGAAAGTTGACAAAAAAAAATTGGAAAATTACCATGTTTAAGATGCTGGAGTACTCAGGTATTATCTTGTTGGGGTCTTTTTAGTTATTTTAGCTGTTTTAGCTGGTTTGGTTGGTCGTGTAGTTGTCTGTTTGTTTGGTTGGTCGTGTAGTTGGTCTGTTTAGTTTCGAGTTTTATTCTAGCATTGCTAGCGAGATTCTAGGCGGTCTTCTGACATGTCCTCCCACTTTATTCTCCCGTTAGGAGCTTTGTCTCTTTGTTCGCACATTGTGCGCTTTTGATTTATAATAGTTCCTCTATCGTTCCGAAAAAAAAAGGATGCTGGAGTTTTCAAATCCTTCAAAATAATAAGAACAGTTTGAGGGCACAAGTTGGATAGGGAAGTTCAGGCCTAGCCACTGTGATTCACATAAGTTTTTGACTGGGTTGTGGTTTAAAGAAGGCTAGTGACAATCAAGAAATTGCTCGTAAGAATGCATGTCATCAACCGCACACATTTCTCTTATGCTATGCTTCGACAGTTGTGGGGCTCCAACATCAACAGTGCGAATGCCCACACCACTCGCGAAGATGGGTCCGATTGTCGAACCACAACCCATGTCATTGCGAACAACAAATTCCTGGAAGAGTCATATTAAATTAGTGGGTCTCAATTGTTTGTAGTATTTTTGGGCGTGTGGTAACCGAGCTACCCGACTCGGGTCGTTCTCAAAGGAAGGCTGTTCGGAGCTTCGTTCACTACCTAGTCGTCAAAGTCACATAACCGAAAATAGGGTCCAACACATTCTACTCGCTTGAAGGGATTGGATTGCAAGAAATTATACTAAGCTAATGAAAGCAAATGATGCAAATGTAAATAGAGAGAGAAAGATCGAAACTTTAGTTTACCGGAATCTGCATGACTCAAGAAAAAGAAAATTAAACAAGAGAAAACATGCGAGCATAGTGATCCTAGGTATTTTAACACGATCTTTCTACACCAAATCATCACGCTTTGAACAAAGTCGAGACCTTTCTAGATAAGCATGTATCGAATCCTAACACACGAAAGCAAGCAATGAAAATAAAGAAAAGACCAACAATCGAGCATCAACACAAAAATCGTAAAAAAACTCGAAGTAGTAAGCCCCAAACAAGGTACTTACTCTCCTATCGCATGTGAAGACGGAAATAGGGTGTGAAACTCAAATCTTGATCAAAAATAAAGTTGACGGAATTTCACCGAAAAAATCGAGTCATGAACCTCCAATCTAAAGCATAAAAAGAAACGAGAGAAAATGAAGAGGATTTCCCAACTTAAAAGCTGGGAAATGAGGGTGGATATCTCAAAATACAAAGCATAATGTCTATTTATAGCTACACCACAAACATGTTGGTATATGTGTCCTACAGACAATCATTTTAAGGACATATATACATGATCACATTAATAATTATATTGGATTATAATTATGGTATTGCGATTAATTAAGTAATTGTTTGATTGTTTGCAATTTATTAATTAATTGCTCCCTTGAGTTGATATTGTCATTAGCAGAGTGAGATGTTAATTGATAAAATATAACTCTCAAATCGCCTCAATCGATGATCATTAAGAAAGGGATATTAATGATACGCGATAGATTGACATGTGGTCTGCATCATATTCTTAGAGAATATAGTAAGTCTCACAGCTATGAATAATTGTTAATTCGTGATGGACACATGGATACTTTGGAGAGTATTGGCATACCCTACCGATAAACCATTTGTTTATGTGTCTATGGGAGTATCGGTGTGTGGAATGGCGTAATAGTCCTTTGACTTGAGGTCAATACGCAATTCATGTATAGAGTGATTTACTTAGACCTAGTCCAATGCTTACGCCCTTATGGGTAGACACGGGCTTGTGTTGGGTAGATCATGATATATATGGAATTGGTAGTTGAGCCAAGAAAGGATTCATTCCTCGAATATAGTTTCGAGAGAACACTCGTTTTCTCTATACTGGGTTGATAAAGTCATTGGCCAATGCACGTGATTATATTTGAAATAGTGTTAAAATATAATTGATAAAATCAACCAGTGATATAAAATAAAATGATTAAGTTGTTTGGATAGACACACGTGCAAATCCTAAGCTTAATCGAGTGGTTCGTGAATGAAGGGACCGTATCACTATTGAATTCTACACTAAAGGTTTATTTGCTTTGTCTATGTAAACGTACTTCATATTTTGAGTTCGTCCTTCGATGCAGTCTAGGAGTTTCGCAAGGATCATAAATTAGATTTATGTCAATATATGAAGGCCTATAGGGTCACACAATATGCAATCTATTTTCCGGCTAAGAGTGAATCGAGAGTGTTAAATATTCAATTAGATTAGAATATTTAATTTTAGTAATGAGATTATTTTCTATTAGATAGAAAATATATAATTAAGTTTAAATTGGACTTAAACTTAATTAAATCATTAATTGGATTAGGTCCAATTACCT